TGCAGAGTGTCTGGGGGATGGGCAGGGAGGCGTTATCCAGACATGGATTTTTGTTCTCTGTGTTTCCAGGGTAGAACAGTCCAGCAGGGACATGGGGACAGTAATTATCACACAGTAATTATCACACATGGCCTTATCTCCAGAGGGAGGCAGCAGCTCCAGGCAGGCACAAGGTGCACAGGAGGGAAGGTGGAATCAGGTGGCCACTGCTCTAAAAATTCTTGTCTCCCATTTTCCATCTCCTCCACTAGAGCTGGAATTTGGGGTTGCACCCAAGCTGCTCTGTGGAGCAGCCACAAATCACTGCCTGTGCCAAGAGCTCCCAATTTTAATGCTTCTTTCCACATTTTTTATTTTTTATTTTTTATTTTTTACTTTTTATTTTTAATTTTTATTTTTATTTTTTATTTTTAATTTTTATTTTTTATATTTATTTTTTATATTTTTATTTTTATATTTTTATTTTTATTTTTATTTTTATTATTTTTAATTTTTTAATTTTTTTTATTTTTTATTTTTTATTTTTTATTTTTTTGTGTAGTACCAGATGAGATGTCCCATTCCTAAAGCAACACATGGGCAGTTTTAGGAGTATTCATTTATAAAGTGGTTCTGCAGCAGAGCAGTGTCATATTTTGCTAATGTCAAAATCTGGAAATGAGAGATAAAAGAGCAGCTTTCACCTCAGAGGAAACAAAGGCATGAGAGGTGAAGTTGTGGGGAAAAAAATTCATGGTGATCCTTTTTTTCTTCTCCCTCCACTGAGTAACCACAGGGTTCTGTGACTGTTTTCTGTCAAAAGAGATTAAAGATGGATTGGAAAGCAAAGATGGATTTCAGAGTTGCTCCTCTAGGGATGGACAATGCTGACTTCCATAAACTAAACCATAATTTCACAGAAATGCTCGCAGAATCCTGCTTGGCAGTCGTGCAATGGGAGTGAACAAATGCACGAATTTTTTATCCAAAATATCCAGAGTCCTTTTCTTCACCATAACATTAATTCTGTTTATGGGAGTAGGAACATAAAAATCTGTGAAATAGAGAAAAGTTGGTTTATTCTTGCCTTAAAGTCAAACTGCATTGCAGGATTTGCTAATAAAAGAAAAGGGATTAATGGAGAGGACACACTTTGTAGAAATGGTGCTCTGGGAAAGAAACACAACTTCTCTATGTCCACACCAGCATGGATTTTCTGTGTTCTTACTCCCAGGTCATTGTGTTTCAGCTCTGGGAGGGTGTTTGGACAAATCTGGGCTGGGATTTGAATGAAGCCATTTAATTTCTGCCTCATTTATAGCTTTTACTGAATCTCAGCTCCATCTGTTCAGGGAGGGAGCTCTGTAAGCTGAGCAGGCAATAGGGAAATAACGATTCAAATAGAAATAATTGTTAGAGCAGAAAACTTTGATGAGTCTGGAAAGGGAAACATGGATTTGGGTAAAAAATAAACAGTGGTGCATTTGAAATGGGCACCCTGGACATGGACATGGGCCCTGATTTCATGGAATCACAAAATGGAAGCTCATCCAGAGCCAACCCAGCCATGGCAGGGACACCTCCCACTGTCCCAGCTGCTCCCAATGTCCAGCCTGGCCTTGGGCACTGCCAGGGATGGGAAATCTAATATAATAGAAATAAGAAATAGAAATAGGAATAGGAATAGGATTAGGAATAGGAATGGAAATGGAAATGGAAATGGAAATAGAAATAGAAATAGAAATAGAAATAGAAATAGAAATAGAAATAATAGGAATAGGAATAGGAATAGGAATAGGAATAGGAATAGGAATAGGAATAGGAATAGGAATAGGAATAGGAATAGGAATAGGAATAGGAATAGGATAGGGTAGGGTAGAATAGAGTAGAATAGGATAGGATAGGATAGGATAGGATAGGATAGGATAGGATAGGATAGGATAGGATAGGATAGGATAGGATAGGATAGGATAGAAGAATAGAATAGAATAGAATAGAATAGAATAGAATAGAATAGAATAGAATAGAATAGAATAGAATAGAATAGAATAGAATAGAATAGAATAGAATAGAATAGGATAGGATAGAATAGCTGAGCTGGAAGTGACCTACAAGAATCACCCAGTTGCAGCTGGAATATCTCTGCAAGGCTTTCTGCTCTCTTCAGGATTATTTTGGTTCTCATCCTTCATCAGCTGATGTCTGCAACATGTCAGTGTCACCTTTTCTCTATAATGAATAGAATAGTTTATACATAGAATTTTAAACATTTTATAACACTCAGAGGAAAGGTGTTCACATCGCTTCCAATGATGCATTTAGATTATTAACATTCCTGAATAATTAGAGTGGCCAAGCTTCAGTAATTAAATGAATATTCACTAATAATTAAGAGGTTTATTTTCCTTTAGTGCTTCTTACATTGTGGTTCAGTCATAACATTTGATTATTCATTATTTTCTCTCCTGACTTTCATATCTATGTGCTTAACCCACAGATCTCCTGACCTTTAAGAACTGGCAGCACTTCATTGGGTTTCTTTCTTTTACCTCTTTTACCTTCTTGACAGCCCAAATTCTCTCTGGGCTCACACATTTGTTTGAAAGAAACCCCAGTGACAGCAATAATTTCATTACTAAATCTAGATGCTGCATGTTGTTATTTTTTTCTTTTTTTTTTCTAAACTTAACTGTGATTTCTCCTATTTGAATATTCAGTGTCTCCCTCTTTGTTTGCTAAACCTCTCAGTACCCCATTTTCTACATCATCTTTATTGCATCAGCTCCAGCCTGGATGAGTTTTGTTTTCTACTGATGGATGTGGCAGCATCCAGCAGGATTCCAGGATTCTATTTCCCATTCAAGAAGTTCTACAGTTACAAATTTAATTCAGTTCTTTCTTTAATTTCAGTTCAGTGCTTTGCTGTCCATTTCTGCTGCTTTTAGGGGTACTGAGGTTAAAGTTATATGACAAAGTTAATATGAAAGCTAATTAATTATGGATATTAATTCATATTAATGTCTTGCACATCCAGGTCGTTATGGGAGGGGTTTGTGTGCATTCCCATCCCCACAATGTATAAATTTCTATTTCAAACTCTGCAGTGGATGTGCAGCTCCTTCAAGTGCCAGCTTTTCCCCATAGAGATCTAATTTTAATTAGAGAGATAAATGGGAAATTTAAATGCTCAGGAAACATTTCTTTCCCCTCCTTTCTAAATCCCTTTTTTTTTGTGGTTGTATCTTCATCCCTTTAAGCCCAGGATTTAATATAGAGAACATGTTGGTTCCAGGCAGTGGCGTGAGGCTCAAACCACTGGAGGTGTGTGGCCAGGAGGGGTGAACTGGGTGATGGAGGCACAAAAATCAGGAGTAAAACTCAGCAGTTAAACCAAATTAAAGAAAGTTCCCGGCTGATGACAGTGGATTTTGGTTAAAACCCTGTGGGGAGTTAGGACAAAGCACAGAACTCTTCTGCTTCCCTGATTTTCCTATTCACAGTTGGACCAAATGGGTTTTCTTCCTTGTCCTAAAATAGTTCTGCCAAACTGCAACTTCAGTAAAAAATCAGAATTATTTGTGATGTCTGAACCATTATTGAGAGTAATTACCATTACAGATAATAATGTCAGATTATATCAGAATATTCCTGCCTCATATCCACAGCAGAAAGTCTGTGTACACCTGAGCAATGACCTTTAAACCTTTTTGAATGAACTTTAAACCTTTTTGGGGGTTATCCATGAAGATATTTGTTTAAAAACAACCCCCCAGGATAGTTTTGGAAGTCAGGTCATGACTCTGCACATGGAGCCCAGAAGGTCTGGGCACGACCTGTTGGAGTCTGAGACACAGAGTGTGTGTCCTTGTCTCTGAGATCCAGAAAAACACTGAATTTCATACAATATGAAATTCATGAGCATGTTTGCATGGTGATACATGAAAACCACTGTTAAAGTTAGATAGAAAAGCTGAAAGTGTGACTGTGTAGAGTAGAAAGCTTTCTTAAGTCACTGGGTGAAAAAGTTAAAGTTTAAAATAGTTTAGAAAGCAGAAGACAAGATGGAAGGTTTAGAATGTTGTTTCTTTTCCTTCTTTCTTCTTCATGTTCTTGTTCTTGAGGTTTTTGGGTAATAGTGAGTGATTGGATAGAAAATGTCACAGTGCAGCACTCAGGTGATGGGTCATTGGGTCATTAAGAAAAATAATTTACGTGTCTGTTGTTAATTGGATAAGAATGAGTATAAAGATAAAAGAACTGAGTGGTTTGGGGCCATTTTGTGCCTTCAAAGCCCAAAGTGAGGCACAAGTGAGGCCATTCTGTACCATCAGGAGAAAATGAACCAGATTGAGGTGAATTAAACTTGTGCAGAAAGTCTGGAGAGACCTGCCAGGTTTTGTGATAACATCCTAATAAACACGAGGAAGAAGATCCCAAGAGGCTTTGGAGTTTGTGTCCTGACCCAGAGGGCTGTGATAAACGGGACTCCCCGTGAGGGAACATCCCCAAGGAGCTCAGCTCAGAGGAGCTGAGAAAGCCAGGAGTGAAAAGAAGTGCAGAAGAAGCACAGCAGCAGAATTGAGAGAGAGAAAAAGAAACAAAATCAAATTTTTAAAAAACGTTACACAACCAGCCATGAGCACTCAAATTATTCCAAACCCACAAAATTCTCTTGTTTCCCATTCTGTTGTGATTTTGGAGATTCCCTTCGTTTCCCTAGGCTCCAAAGGACACTTTTCCTTCCCTTTACCCAGCAGAACTGGAGTCAGCTGTTTAGAAACAAGGGAATTCCTTGTGGAGGGTGGTAAAACCAGAAATTTGAAGACCTAATGGTGCAGAGTTGTCCAAATTTCCCAGGGAATCCCAACAGGGAGGTGAAACAAATCCCGAGGGCAGGGGTGGGAAAGGAGAATGGCTGATTTCTGCTTCTTCCTAAAGCTCAGATATCAACACCTCTGGGAGAATTCTGGGCAGATTTAGGATCTTCAGGAATAAATCAGCAGTGTGCTTTGTGCTTTCAGAATATGAAATTGAGAGATCCTTTTTCCTGAGGATGAAGTGTGTCCTAGCCAAGAGGAATGCAGGGCTGACGTGCAGTGGCTACAAGGTAATGTTTTTAAATTACTTCTCCAATATTTAACAATTGACAAGCTTATTTATTTAAGTGTTTGTTTTGGGGTTTTATTTTTACATATGTGCAGTTGAGAGCAAAGTTTGTGATGGAAAGAATCAGAAAAAGTCCCTAAAATGCCCTCAGTATTTCAAATTTAAATTTTGTGGCACATTCCCTCACCTTGGTCCCTGGGAATTATATCTGGAGCCCAGCCCTGGAGCTGCCAGGAGAGCACACAGCCCGGTTTTATTCCCCCATGGAATGGGGGGCAGGTGAGGCAGGAACCCAGAGACGGGAATCTGGAAATTTTCCACATCCCACCCAGCTGCACAAGGCACCTCCTTGGCCTCAACACTAAAAAAACCCAACCACTGCCATCACCTCAGCGTGGAATTGTACCAAACCAGCAGGTTCTGTTTATAAATCTCCCAGTTCATTAGATTATTTTTATTTATGACATGAAATCAAAGCCACAACAAACACTCAGGTCATAAAATAACAGCTGTCATTTGAGTGGCTTTTATTTTCAGACGTGCACTAGCTTTTATTTTCAGATTTGCAGGTAGTTTTTATTTTCAGGTCTGCAGTAGCTTTTATTTTGAGTCTTACAGACAGTTTTTATTTTTAGATGTGCAGTGGTTTTTATTTTTTTTATGCATTTTTATTTATTTTTTATGCAAAGCTTTTATTTTCAGCTTTGCAGTAGCTTTTACTTTCAGATTTGCAGCAGTTTTTATTTTCAGATGTGCAGTAGTTTTATATTCATCTTTACAGGTAGTTATTTTCAGATTTGCAATAGCTTTTATTTATTTTCAGCTTTGCAGTAACTTTTATTTTCCAATTTGCAGGCAGCTTTTATTTTCAAATATGCAGTAGTTTTCATTTTCATCGTTACAGGCAGTTTTTAGTTTCAGATTTGCAGTAGCTTTTCTTTTTAGATTTGAGGCAGTTTTTGTTTTCAAATATGAAGTAGTTTTTATTTTCAGATGTGAGCAGTTTTTGTTTTCAAATATGAAGTAGTTTTTATTTTCAGCTTTGCAGTAGCTTTTACTTTCAGATTTGCAGTAGTTTTTATTTTCAGATGTGCAGTAGTTTTTATTTTCAGATGTGCAGTAGTTTTTGATTTTCAGATTTGCAGGCAGGTTTTGTTTTCAGATTTGCAGTAATTTTTATATTCATCTTTACAAGCAGTTTTTATTTTCAGCTTTGCAGTAGCTTTTCAGATTTGCAGTAGCTTTTACTTTCAGCTTTGCAGTAGTTTTTATTTTCAGATGTGCAGTAGTTTTTATTTTCAGATGTTCAGGTAGCTTTTACTTTCAGCTTTACAGGTAGTTTTTCTTTTCAGCTTTGCATTTGCTGCTCTTTGAGCTGCCTAGGTTAACTCTGCCCCCACCAGAGAGGCTCATTTCCATTCATTCTGGTGAGGATTCATTCAGAGTCCTTCAAAACCCAAAAAGCAAAGCCTGGAAGAGGAGCAGAGCTCTGCAGGAATGCTCAAGGTGCAGACATGGATCTGTTTGCCCTCTTCCCTACCTGGCTGCACTGATAATTCTTCATTACACTGAGCCCTGTTTGCTCAGCTGCTCCCCAGCAAAAATGCTTCTGTCCCAAAGCTGAATCTGAAATCAGCTAAAGGAGTAGAGCTTGCAGTCGTGGCATCTCCACGTGGCTTTGGGGGGTTTTTGGGTTTTTTAATTCCCAATTATCACTGTTAATCAGAGGCATCACTTTCTTTGGCTCACTATTAAAAGTTTGCACAGTGAAAAATCAAAAGATTCTTCTGTCTGGAGAGATGTTGGCCGAAATTTATTCCATTTGACTGTGCTTAAAGTCAGGACTTAATTTTTAAGAAATCACCTCATTAGCTGAAGCACAGAAAAAACTCATGGACCAAGTGATGGGGGAATTGAGAATCTGCTGAGAGATCTCCTTACTGTGCTTTGGCTAAACATTTCAATCCCTGCAGAGGAGGAAGGTTAAGCAGGAGGAGCCCATTTCCAGGTGATGTTTGCTACGTTGTTTAGAACACTAAATACACTGAAAATTAATTCCTTTCAGTTAAAAGCCAATCAAACAGAGAAATTCAGCTGAAGGTTGATATTCCTGCTGCTTGGACCAGAAAATTGGCAGGGGCACTGATGATTTCTGAACACCAGCACCACACTAAATAAATCTTCTGGCCTGGAATAGTCCCCAGGATACATTTCGCCCTCCCCTTAGCTGACACTGAATTTTTACAGTCTAACACTGTCATTATCACCTCTGTGAACAGCAATTGTACACAAGGATCCCGAAATCTGAGCTCAGGACCTTGGGTTTGGTCACAGGTCAAAAAAAAAACCAAAACAAAGCTCTAAACTTGAGCAGAGAACTTAAAACTCATTTCTTGTGCATTTGCATAAACATCAGTTAATTTTTATTGCTTTGTGATGCATCAATAACCACTAGGTTTTTCAAAAGCCTTTTTTAAAGTGCTTTTATTTACATCAGAATAATAACTCATTAAAATGTTTTTATTAATATTTCTATTCTATTCTATTCTATTATTATGAATAATAGCTTGCTAAAATGTTTTTATTAATCTTTGAGTGTGAGTGGGAGAGAGAATGACATCTTAAAAAAAGCAATTTCCAGATATTTTTTTTTTTTAATCAATGAACAGAAATTCTGGCTGTGTCTACAAGAAATCTGTATCAAGGAGATTAAAGTATTAATTAGGAAGCAATTAGGCAGTCCCCAGAGAGGAGGTGCTTCAATACTGGATTAATCACGCTGTCAGCAAACACTAAACTGCGCTTACTGAGTCTTAATCTCTATTTACAAATTAACTGCAATCAACAGGCAACCCAAAATTTAATATTATGGGGGAGTGTGTGTTTATCAGCTCATTGAGACTGAGTGGGCAGCAGCTCTGGGGCTTTTCCATCAGATCCTGAGGGCATTTTCCCCTTTTTCCAGGTGATCCACTGCAGTGGCTACTTGAAGATCCGTCAGTACATGCTGGATATGTCCCTGTACGATTCCTGTTACCAAATCGTCGGGCTGGTGGCCGTGGGGCAATCTTTGCCTCCCAGTGCCATCACTGAGATCAAGCTCCACAGTAACATGTTTATGTTCAGAGCCAGTTTGGACCTAAAACTGATATTCCTCGATTCCAGGTAAGCAGCTCTTTCATCTCCGGCATCGAGCGTCCGCCTAAACTGCCGCGGTTTCCCAACGGGACAAAACATCCGTGAAAAAAATCGAGCAGTCCAAAATAGATCTGGAACTCAGAGATTTCAAAGCCTTTCAGGCAGGGGGATAGACCAGACTTTGTCTGGAATGCCAAGAAATAAGAGCCTGTCTAATTTAAGCTGGAGTTTCCTGCGCTTTTAGGGTCGGCTAAAAGCTTCTTGCTGTGAGGATTGGTCACAGGAGCAGTGATAGTTTTTTACCTGAAAGGATACAAATTTTACCACACAAAGCCAGCAAAAAGGAATGAGGCTGTACCAAAAAGCCCCAAAAAACCAACCCCAAAACTGGAATACTGAGGTCAAACCGGCTGGGGACATCCAGAAAGCTTTTGAAAGAGCAGTAGGGAAAGAGAGTTCTGTCTTTTAGTGTAATGCTCTGACCATGAAACCAACACTAATAATGGGGTTGTTCAAATGGAAACGAATTCCATTGACTGCTACACACAAAAACAGGACCTTCTTAAACAAAATTTTGGGAAGAGCAGCTGAGGAAGGAGAGCCCTGCCTTCACTTCAGCTGATGGAGCTCAGATGGGCACAGAACCAGAACTGAAATTCATTTCTCTGGTTTTGGAGCAGGTACCTTGTAGGATACAATACTTTATCCAGTGCAGTCCAGGAGACTTTGAAGGGAAAATCCCAAACACACAAACTATTGGCAAGATGATCATTCTTCAAAACTCCTTTCCTGTGTGTCCCACATTCCCCATTTTCCCGGCGGGCTGGATTTGTAGGGAATACATTCATGTGGTGAATGTGGGAGAAAACCTCTGTATCCAACAGAGCTGAGGTTGACCATTCAAGAAGAGGCTTTTCTCCATGCTCAGCCCAGGGGACAGTGGCTCCATCAGCTGCTGGGACACAAAGAATTCGTTGTTCTGGAACCCTTCCTGATTTTTTGGCACGCATCGCTTCGTGCCGCGGCTACAAAGGAGCACGAGGGGTTCAGCAACACGTCCTTGCATGTGAGGAAAAGGGAATGATGTGCCTGGGAGGAGCTGCCTGGAGACAGAAGTGTCTTCAAAAGCCACAGAGCAAGCAGAGGTGCTGACAGGAGCAGGGATAGACCCAGAGCTGTTGCAGAGCTGTGTTTACCAAGGAGCAGATGGGTGTCATCCACACATGGGACAAGCAGGGGAATTCAGCTTCACCAAAGCCTTTTGCTCTCCCAGCTGAGCAAACCAAACTGTATTTGCTCAAAACAGGGGCACGTTAGGAGTTAGAAAAAATTGGTTTCAGGCTTAGCTCTGGTTTCCATGCAAGGGGATGGATCTTGAGATGTAACCATCACAGAAGACAGCACGAAAGCTGTGGGAAGGAGCAGCTCAAAATCCCTTTCTAGACACCTGACACAACATAAACCACACAGAAGCTGGTTCACTGAGGTCACTGGGAGGAGAAGACAGTCGCTTCCCTCCAAAGTGAGCTTTCATGGTGCATTCATTGAAAGGGGTTTTAAAAAGCCTTTGAAGAATTGAAGAGACCAGAACTGATCACTGGGGTGAGCTCTGCTTCCTTGTGTGTCCTGTCACCTGCACAGCACAACCTGGAGTGCCCAGGCTGGTTGAGGGATTGATTTGATATCAAGGAAGTAAAACAGCTGAGGTTATTTCCAGAGTCAAGCTTTCCCAAAATTTGGGTGTCCTAGGAACAGCCAGTGATGGCTTTTTTGTCACCATCCTCAAAGTGAGGCTGCACCTTTGGGAAAATGAGCCCCTGGCTCGGGTTTGTGGTGCTCTGGTTGGGTTTGGATGAGCTGTGTCTGTACTCACCAAAGGGGCAGGATGGTGCTGCCAGCCTGGTTTGAAGTGCACTGGAGTCAGAAGGAGAATTGAAACCTGAGCAGGATCTTCCAGCAGTGTTTTGTGATCCTGCTTGGCTTCAGTGAGGATCTGGGAGGAGCACACCCTGCAGAGGAGAAACACAAACCTCTATTCAAAGGCATTTTGATGTTGTTGTCCTTCAGAAGAATCCAAGCCCTCACCCCTCTCCAGCAGAACATCCTCAGTCCCTGGGGTCCACTGGGCTGGTGAGAGTCAGGGTATGAGTACAGAAGATGCACAGTAGTCACAAAATTTTTTAAAAAACACAAATCAAAATGTACATTATCTGCAATCCCACAAGGACAGGCATTGCTTGGGACCCCCTGTTCATTTCTGTGGACACTGCTGAGCTCTCTCTGGTGCTGTGCATCCTCTCCAGTGGTAAAGTTCAGACCAGGAACATCCTTTTGGAGTCTGGGTCCTGACCATCCCCGCTCAGCTCATGGCATGAAGAGGCTCGGGACATTTACACTGGATTCCTTTGATCTAAACAGGAGGACAACATCCAAGAGCACCCCTAGGACTCCAGCTTTAATAGATACTTCAGTCCACAGGCCTAGGCTAGAGCTAGGTAAAACTTTAATTAATTAAATTAAAATGTGCAGATGCATCTGCTGCTGCAGGAGTAGATCCTCAGCAGGGACAATTTTACCTGCTAAGGGACAGTGTCACTTGTTCATGTGCACATTCCTTACTGTTCTGCCTTTTTTAGGCAAAGAAAGCCCAGGACATCACAAAGCCATCCCAACACCCCTGGGTACACAAGCCACAGTCTGGCTGAGTGGCACGTTGTACTTTAAGGACTATTTTTCCCTCAACTAAATAAAAAAAAGTCCATTTGAAACATGAGGTTTGACTCTTCAGGTCTGACCCAATGTAAGTCTGACCTCTGAATTTGATTCTTTAACATCTGCAGAGATGCTGCTGTTTTGAATTCGTTCCATTCTTCTACTTCTGGGATTTTTTAGGTTTTTTTTGAAGTCTTGCTTCAGCTTTCCTTTCCTCACCCTGTGGTCTTCACACCTCCTTGTCTTTCCACATTCTCAGCTGGAATAAGCTCCTGCTTTTTTCTCCTGTTAGGCACCAGGCTGGATTTATTCACAGGCCATGATCACATGTGGCCCAACACACCTTCTACACTCGTACCTTTGCAAAAGCAAATGAAAATGTGTCAGCAGCCCACAAGAGAGGTTTTATTGTTTCATGAGCAGCTCCTCCAGTGGAACTTTGTGCAAAGGATCCTGCATGGCAGTGGCAAAAGCCCAAGGTGGAAATCAGTAAAAGAGCTCTTTTTCCTGCCTGGGTGTACAGGGGAAAGCTGCACCTTGCTCTGGCTGGGCTGAAAGGGTTTCTTTTCTTGTAAAGGTGAGGTTTCTGTTTCCAAAACTAACATTTCATCCCGCAGCTTTCGGGCACTGTTTTGTTGGCACAATCGAATGTTGGGTTAATGAAACTGAATATTCCTAGAGATTTTGTTTATTGCAGATTTTTCCTTTCCCAGGGTTACAGAATTAACTGGATATGAACCCCAGGATCTGATAGAAAAAACCCTCTACCACCACGTCCACGGCTGTGACGTTTTCCACCTGCGATACGCTCACCACCTGTGTAAGTACCTGGGCTGGGGGCACAGGAGGGGCCTGGAGCAGCTGGAGAGAGCCCAGAGGAGGCTCCAGGATGAGCAGAGGGATGGAGCAGCTCTGCTGGCAGCAAAGGCTGGCCCAGCTGCCGTTGTTCAGCCTGGCCAGGAGAAGCTTTGGGCTGAGCTCAGGGTGGCCTTGCAGGGCCTGAAGGAGCCCCAGGAAAGCTGGAGAGAGACAATTGCCAAGGGCTGCAGGGCCAGGAGCCAGGGAATGGCTGCCAGGGGCAGAGGGCAGGGCTGGATCTTGGGATCTTGGGCAGGAATTGTTCCCTGGCAGGGTGGGCAGGGGCTGGGATGGAATTGCCAGAGCAGCTGGGGCTGCCCCTGGATCCCTGGCAGTGCCCAAGGCCAGGCTGGACATTGGGAGCTCCTGGGACAGTGGGAGGTGTCCCTGCCATGGCTGGGCTGGCACTTGGATGATTTTTAAAGTCCCTTCCAACCCAAACCATTCTGGGATTCTATGAAATACATTGATTGCAGTGAGAAGTTTTGTAGACAACAATCACCATGCTGGAAAGCAGAAAAAATCTTTTCCAAATCTTGACTGGAGACAGATTTTCAGAAGTTCTTGGCTATCACTTAAGGAAACCATTCATTGTGTAAATAAGCTGGATATTCAATATGCTGGACTCCTGAAAAGAAAAAAAAAGCAACACCCAAATCAAATTATCTGGCCAGTTTTATCTTTGTACTTAGGGGATCCAGGCTATTTTAAATATTTGGAAATGATTCTGGATGGTGAACTCCTAAAGGAAAAGAAAACTAAAAGAGCAAGTAAAAAAGAGGGGAAAATCTGAACTTCACTAGCCTCTGTTGTTAAAACAAAAACTATGCAGCAGCTCTGCATTCCTCTGAAATATGTTAGTAATAATCATCCTGTGTTTGAAGGGAATGCAGTCCCAAAAACTCCTTGGAGGGACATTCATTAATAGCATGTGGATGAGGTTTGGAGAATGGATTGTCAGGAAAAAAAATGACACATTTAATAATTTCCCATCTTCCAACAGTCACTAATCATATCTTCAAACATCTGGGTCTGGGAAGGAGTTCATTCAGTAGCACATTAATTTGAAAAGCAAATTGAGGGAATGGCTGAACTCTGGATTTGGCTCTGTTTGCTGCAACCCATACGAGGCAAAGATGACATCCAAAAACCAGTGTCAGGGAATTTTTTTTCCAGATTGCTCCTGTAGGCTGGAAGCATCCAGAGTCAAATCCTCCTTTTAGGCTTCCTTCTTCTCTTAGTGTGTGCTATTCACGAGGATCTGGAATATCAAGGAGTTTGTAGCTGTGTTTGGCAAGTCCGAGGTGAAATTCCAAGTGCTGAATTCCACCGGCGGCAGAGTGTGCTACACCTGGGAAAGCAAAAGCTGATCTTTTGCAGCCACTTCAGATTTACCAAACACATTGCTGAATGTTGATTTACCAAAACATTCTTGAATTGGCCCATTATCTCTGGGCCACTGAGAGCTGGAAAAAAGAATGAGCAGGACACATGGAATACCCTGTCAGGGACACCCTCTCTGTAGCGGTGACATCTGCTTGTGGGTGTGACTGTTGACCTGCTCAAAATAGACTCAGACTGTTTGAAATACCTTCATCAACCAGCACAGAAATGATGCCACCACAGCCACAATCACCCCTGGAAAACAGTTTTAGAGCAGCAGGGTGGATAATTCTGTGGCTGCCAGTTTGATCCATGTACGACTGGAGTTTTAAATGAAGAGACAAATCATGTTCACCGAATTACCCACCACATCCTTCCACAAGGAAAAAATAAAAAACCCTCAGCCAAATGGGATACTAAGAGCAGTTCTGTAGATTAAAGATAAATTACTGTAAACTTTAAAAACAGAAGAAAAATGCGAGCCACGCATAGGAATTTATGAAAGCAGATAAATCCCAAGAAGCGCAAAATAATGAGTAATGCTTGGGCAGCAGAGAGAACAGTGCAGGGTCATGGTTGGAATACCAAGTAATGGGAATTATTAAACCAGATGTAAAGTGCACAAAGTCCCTCTGGGGAGCACTGTGAGAGCTCCCCCAGCATCCATCAGCAAATGTCTGAGGAACAAGAACAGTGAAAGGTTGGCAGGTTTGTTGTACCATTCTATAAAGCAATCTGATGATGAAGTGTCACCTGATGCAGAAATCCAAAGAGAAACATCTTACACCTAATAAGGGTATTAAGGGGGGGGAAAAAAATATAAGCAGCCTTAAACTAGGATAACCATTTTTTTTTTTAAGAGGAAAAAGAAATCCCAAACTGAAGAGCTGAAGCAGCTGAACTCAGAGTGAGGCAGCACAGAGAATAAAACAAAGGAAACAGTGAGGGGAACAAGTTGGGAGGGACAGAACAAGAACATCAAGCTGGGAGGGAAATGTAGATGTGAATATTTGCCTAAGGTGTGCTGGCAGCAAAGAGAATTTCCTGCTTGAAACATTTGATTGGTTTCCAGCTGCAGGAAAACACTTGTGGTGTTTGAAGCAGCGTTATTTATTTCTAGAACCCCTTTCATCCACACAGTGTTTGCCCTGAAATGTGGCCACACAAATAAGGAGGCCCTGCATTCTAAAATACAGGACAGAGTTCCAGTAAAGACAAAATATCTTTGTGCCCTCAGAGAAATCCCTTTGTTTGCACCATTGTGAGGGGGGTTTTGGGCATCCCATGTGTTGCAACATCCCTGCTCTTCCTGCAGGAACTTGAACAGGATTTGGGTCTCTGTGCCTTGGCCCAGCCCAGCCCAGTCCCCACCAAACCCTTCTCCTGCTCCCTGGAACTATTTCTAGGGTTATTTTATAGAGAAGCACAATTCCACCATCTCTGATGTTGGGTCTGCCTCTGCTTTGCCAGCACTTCTGGCAGAGCAGCATCGATTTTAAAAGCAAAAAAAAAAAAGGATCTGCTGGGCCTGTGCCTTGCGCAGGGGTCGGGCCCGTGCCATGCCAGGGCAGCTAAAACAGGATCTGCTGCCAGTGTGGAGCCAAGAAATCCATTTCTTGGAGTGGTATCCTCCAGTGCAGGCTGGGAACTCCCGGCCACACGCCCGGGAGCCTGATGGAGCCTTTCAGAATAGTCCTGTCCACAGCCCAGAGCCTTTTCCAGCTTCTCTGTGAAGCCAGGAGCGAGGCACAGCCCTGGAACACCCAGTGGCAGAGGGCACATCCAAGGGCTGGAGCCACGGAATCCTCCCCTTTGGACTGCAGCAGAGGCCACCAAGAAGTCTGAGCCTGCATGGATTGTCTGGGTGGTGGATTTGCCTCACTCCCATTCCTGAGGTTTCCTTTTCAGCATCAAACAGAGCACAGAGCCAGATGGAAGCTGACCTCGCTGGCTGTCTCAGTTACTGTCCCTTAGCCAAGGTCAGACTTTCCTCAGATTGCTAAAAAAGCAGGAGACGGAGTCCTCCCCCATCCCCGGAGAAATACTGGTTAATCCATATAATTAGGAAGGGAAGCTGAACACTGTAGCTCTCAGTGGTTTTCACATCTTTTCAGACACTGTCTTAACTGCAGAGCTAAAACAGGGATTTAAAAAAAAAAAATCAGTGGGAGAGGAGGAAAGCCAAAACCAGTCCCAAAGCACACGGAAGAACTTTGTTATAGTTAGTGATCCATGACAGCATTAATTTCTCTTTTGGAATACTGAGTGTAGCAAAGCATTTTGAACTCAAGGAAAATGTGCTCATTAAACCAGCACAAAGACCCAGCTCTAAAAAGCCCAGACCACGTTCCAAAAATTACCTGTTACATGGCCTGTGCTAAAACGTAAAGAGCATTTCCTGGAATGGGACCATTTGGATTTTAGAATGAGTAACCAAATCATAAAATCACAGAATGGTTTGGGTTGGAAGGGATCCTGAAGATTATCTCATTCCAGCCCCCTGCCATGGCAGGGACACCTTCCACTATCCCAGGGTATTCCAAGCCCCATCCAACCTGGCCTTGGACACTTCCAGGGTGGGGGCAGCACAGCTACAGAGCACCATCTACAATTATAGAACATTAAGAAATAATAAAACTGTGGCATAGAGACAATTATCAATATTTTTAGAACAGACTCTTTGAGTAGCCACTCCAAGATTTTCAGCTTGCAGTGATAACCTGCAATTGAAAAATACAAATATCTTTATATTTTCTAGGTGTGTTTACATACTTATAGGCACACTCCTTGTGATTTTTTTAACTGTATGTTCATCTGCACACCCTGATCCTGTAAGGAATTCCATGTGGAAATGCAGGAGTGGAAGGAACAGCAGCAAGAATGAGGAAAAAGCTGATATCTAAGAGAGATTTGAAACCCCCAAATAAGGGTGGCTTGGTGACATGGAGGGTGGGTTTTTGAAAGTCATGGACATCATGGAATGTCCTGACCTGTGAGGGATCCACAGGATCATGGATCCAGCTCCTGGTCCTGCCCAGCTCCCCCAACAAGCCCAGCCTGGGCATCCCTGGATGCTCCTGGAGCTCTGGCAGCCTCGGGGCCGTGCCCATTCCCTGGGGAGCCTGGGCAGTGCCAGCAGCCTGAAAGCCTCCCTGCTGGGCGAGCTCCAGCCATGCCCTGGTGCTGTCCCTGTGCCAGGAGCAGAGATCAGAGCTTCAGACAGTTTTAGGTGTTCATTCTTTTGCCTTCTGAACACACAGGCACCTCATCCTGAAATGGAAGAATTGGCACTTCTAGAAAGATCTGGCAATTTTGTAAGAGCCTGATTTTCTTTGGGAGATAAACTGGATTTGAAGGAAAGTTTCAATACTTTGGGATGTGCAATGGATGGGAGAGGAAGCAGCCCAGAGAGGTGACCCATACACTCCAGACTTTGGGGAGACCTCAATGAGTCCTCCAGTGCCACAAGGAAATGGATGAAAAGGAGGGAGAGAGACTTTTTGTATGGGCAAAAAGTGACAGGACAAGGGGAATGGTTTTAAACTGACAGAGAGAAGGTTTAGATTCCATTTCTTAATCATTTTTATATAAAGGAATTTCTGCCATTGCCCACTTTTTTTGCATACGATTTGTGCAGCGAGTTCAGTCTGTGATTCCCTAATTTACAATAAATAACTGGATAGGAGAGTGAGAAGATGGAGTTTCCCAGAGGAATGATGCTAGGCCACACAAAAGAAGAACCAGCTTCAAAGGCTGGGCATTATCTTCTAGTGAATCCTGAGATAAAGGCCTGGCACTGAACCAGAAATATTTGTGGCTGGATTAAATATTTAGAGATGCTGCACAACTCCTGTTACAGCACAACGTCCTGCCAAAACATCCTTGTTCACAGAGGATCCAAAATAGCTCAGGGAGGATTACATGGCTGGTGAATTTATCAGATATCTGATTCCCCTCTCTGTCCTTGTCTTTGTTTGGGTGCCTCACAACCAAAGAGTTTTTCAGTTTTACCTTTTTAAATCAACCTTCAAGATAACAGAGGGAAAAAACCATCACAGAATAAAATACATCGTAAAATACATGATAATCTGTCAAGCTGTGAGAGAAGTGCTTCCAAGTAATCCGGAAAAAATCTCAAAATCACAGAATCCTCGAGGTTGGAAGAAACTTTCAGGATCATGCAGTCCTCACCCCAAACCCTGTCCCCACATCCAGACTGCTCTGGGACAATTCCAGTGACTCCAAACCTCCCTGGGCAGCTCATCCCAAGGCCTGACCACTCTGCCAGGGAAATTTTCCTTTCCCAATCTCCAACCTGAGCCTCCCCTGGTGCAATTTGAGGCCATTTCTTCTCCTTCTTTCAAAAGAATTGTATCCAATTCAAAATACTTTTGCTGCCTTGCACTTTTGTTTTGCAGTTAGAAATTTTAAAGCAGCGTTTGTGAAGAACGCGACCTTCCCAGAGAAGAAGGAAGACAAAACCTGTGTGTCTTTGAATTGTATAGAAATAATAATTTGGTGTTTTGAATCTATAGAAAGGGGCAGGATAGATAATTCTGCAGGGGTTTATCTCAAGTTTATTGGGAGGAAGAGGAAGGAGGGTGTTAGGACATAGGTTGGACTCAATAACATCAAAGGCCTTTTCCAACCTCATTAATTCTGTGATACCGTGAGAGACGAAAGCGCTTGGCTTGCAAATAAACCTCTCCAGGAAGTGGTCATGAGTCCCAAAAAACCTATAAAATTTTAAAATTTTGTTTTCCTTGTGTTCACAGTGCTGGTGAAAGGCCAAGTGACCACCAAGTACTACCGGCTGCTGTCCAAGCAGGGAGGCTGGGTGTGGGTGCAGAGTTACGCCACCATCGTGCACAACAGCCGTTCGTCACGGCCTCACTGCATAGTGAGTGTCAATTATGTCCTTACGTAAGTCCAAATACTTTGTACCATTACCTGTTATCACTAATTGAGTCATTAATGATTAAATCCACCAAGTTTTCCTGGCTTGTGTCTTCCGGTGCCGTTCCGTGCTTGCGCCTCGCAGCTTTCCCTGTCGGTACGATCCCGTCTCTTTAGCTGAGAGATAACATTGTTATATTAATTATGTTAATATATGTAATTATATTAATTATAATCTCAGGGGGGACCTCATTCTCTGCACAACTCCCTGTCAGGAGGGGCAGTGAGGAGGGGTTGGGCTCTGCTGCCATGTCCCAAGGGAAAGGAGGAGAGGAAATGGCCATAATTTTGTCAGGATAGGTTCAGATTGGGGATTAGAAGGGTTTTTCTCCTTTGAAAGAGTGGTCAGGCCTTGGAATGAGCTGCCCAGGGAGGAGGTGGAGTCACTGTCTCTAAAATTATTCAGGAAGAGTCTGGATGTGGCCCTTAGGACAGGGTTTGGGGTGATGCTGGTGCTGCTGGTGATGGTGGGACTGGTTGAGCTTGAAGATCTCTTCCAGAGTTGAGTATTCCGTAATTTTCTGATCAAAACCAACCTTGCAACTTGTGGGGTTTAGCTACAAGCACACACTGCTGACAGGGGAGGAACATTGCTCCTTTTCCTTTCCTCAGGGCTGATTGTGAGAACCAGGGCAGAGACCAATTCCTGACAGAGCAGGAGACAGATTAATTGATCTCAGTCTTTCCATGATTCCAAACCACAGGGAGCCAGGGATGGCTGAGGGAAGAGGACAGCTCAGCCCCAGAGAGAGGGGACACTCCATCCTGACCAGGTTACCATTTCCAAATCACAGTTTTCATGCAGAAACTCAGTACCTACCTCTCAGGAAACAAGGAAAATAGTAAAACCCAAAAGTAATAAAATGAAAGCAAAACTCAGAGCAACACCTTACCCACCACAGGTAAAATTTCCAGCAATATTTAATTACCAATTGTTCTCACAGCATGCTTGGGACACTGTAGAGATAATTCAGGACTGAATTTACTATAAAACAGACTATAGGATTATCTACCCCAGGAAATTCCTCATAAAGCAGGATAAAATTAGATCCTTTTTAAACTTGGGGTGGAAAGTACAGGTAGCACAAACCAGCTCTGGCAAGTGATGTAAAACCTTTGGGGTGTGGAGTGCGTGAAGCACTTTAACCATGACGCCCTTTCTTGACAAAAAAATGAAAGTCCTGTAGTTGGAATTGTGCTGTGAAAATTTGTGCTGGTGTAGAATGTGTGTCATTTACTGTTGGTATGTGGAGTTCTTCATGTCAGGAGGAATTTCTTCCTGGAAAGGGAGAGGGTGCTCAGGGCTGCCCATCCCTGCAGGTGCCCAAGGAAGGGCTGGACGTGGCACTCAGAGCTCTGGGCTGGGGACAAGGCGGGCATCGGGCACAGCTGGGACTCCATGGGCTGCGAGGGCTTTTCCTAACTTAACCCTGTGATTCTGTAAAACTGAACTGCCAAAATTATCAAATCAAAGCAGGTTTTTTGCTCCCAAGTGAAGGCAAAGTCGCGAAGAGAGGAACTTTAAACGCACCACTCAGTCCATCCCTTGAGCCAGCGGGGCTCTGGGTGCCTGTCTGACATGTTCTGTACTTCCCAAAAAAGTTCCTCCTTTAACTCTCTTCCCCTGCCCCTTTCCCCCTCTTTCCCCCAGCAATACAGCTCGTTCCAAGCAGACAAACTGGAATGCAGCCAGGTGGGGAGCTGGCGCTCCAGCCCCGCCGCCAGCGCCGCCGCCCTGCAGGAACAGAACTTCCATTCAGAGAGCAGTGAACTCCTGTACGCCCCACCCTACAGCCTGCCCTTCTCCTACCACTATGGACACTTCCCTGTGGATTCCCACGTCTTCAGTGGCAAGAAGCAAATGCTGCCTGCGAAATTTGGGCAGGCCCAAGGGGCACCCTGCGAGGTGGCGCGGTTCTTCCTGGGCGCGCTGCAGACCAACGGCGAGTGCCAGTGGCATTACACCAATTCCCTGGTTCCCAGCAGCCAGTCCCCCTCCAAAAGCCTTCCTGAGCAGCCCGTGAACATCATCAGGCCAACCTTGCCCAGGTGAGGGGGAAAGCTGGGCTCCGGCTGGGAAGGATTTGGGTTTGCGGTTTGAGAACCAGGTTTGATGCCTTGGAGTGGCTCCAGAACTTTCTGCTCAGGCTCAGGCTCTAGAGCAGAGGCTAGACAAGGTGAAGAGTAGATATTGATCAAAGGCCTTCATTAGATACACCTTGAGCAGTCAGAAGCCTCCCAGAGGCTCCCCCAAGGTGGAAAATGGTCAGGAGTTTTTCAGACAATTCTGAGTTTGGTCCATTTACATAGCAGGGGTTAATGCTGCAATTACAGCTTCAGCTAATGAAGAACAATTCCTTTTGTTTGTACTTTTTGGGGCCTGAGGCTGTGGGGTGTCCCTGGATCTCAGGCCTAGAGGGATTGTTTTGTCTGACCAAAATGTGAAGATAGTAACTGACCCTTTATGAGGAGTTTGGAGTTGTGCACTAATGCAGGACAGCATTTGAAAAATACAAAAACTGAAATCCTAAGACATCAGTTTAAACAACACAGAAGATCAGAGGCAGTGAAGTGTAACAATCACTATATTTATGGTATTCCCTTGTTCCTTCTTCCCATTTCCATCAGCACTGGATTGGGAATATTATCAAAGCTTCAGCTGAAAAAATGCACTGACCAGAATCACTTTTAGAGCAGCACAGTGACAGCTCCTCCTTCAGTGCTGGCACAGTTTACCCTCATGCTTTGCACTCTCAGAGTTATTTAAGTGGAATTTCTCAGGTAAGTCATGGCTGAAGTCAGATTGAAACTTTACCTCCACTGTAATTTTTGATAATTTTAACACAGAAATTAAAATAAATTAAAAAAATTTAAAAAAATTAATAAATAAAAGAGTAATAAAATAAATAAAATTTATATAAACACCATCTATTCCCACAAAAAAATTGAAGATTGTCCTTTCTCAGCACAAATCCACTCTGTCTTTCCCTTTGAGAGTAATAATTCTGCTTTACTTGATCATAATTCTGAATTTGAAAGTGTCTCCCATCACCTGCATTATTTCACTGTGCAGATGGTCAGGGATAGAAATTCTCTGAAGAAAGGCATTGACTTCTCTGAGGTGGAAACCTACAAGAAGTAACCTTGAAAAATTATAAACCAACCAAACGTAAAGATGCTAAAACTACCCTCTGATCACAGAATCACAGAATAATTAAGGTTGGAAAGGACTTGTGGGGATCATCTTGTCCATCTCTTTAATTTCCCCCGTGTTCAACCAGAACAGGATTTATTGCAGTGGTTTTGGCAGAGATTTATCTCTCATTTTAAACACTGATCTCACAGCTGCCCCAGCTCCAAAATGAAACTGAGTCAAGTTGTGATGGGCAAGGAACAATATTAATCAGCTAAAGCAACAAAAATATTTGGACAAGGCAGACTCTGGCAGGTCAGGCTATTTTGGGATGGTGTCAAGTATCTTTAACTCAATTAATAGCATTAATTACTCCCCTGGCCCAGCTTCCCCTTCAAGTCAAACACGACTCTGAATTTAACTGCTTTCATGAACAAGCCTCAGAAGTTTGCTGAGATTTCAGGTTGCTGCTGATTTCAGCAAGAACAGCCTTGGTTGGCCTGGATTTCCCCCTTTTTCCTGATTTACTTTCAGTCACTGTGAGAATTATACAAAAACCTGTTGCAAAAATATGCAAAAAATATAAAACCCCACCACATCTGAGTTTATTCAGTCTTATTAAGTACAGGAGTTCTTCTGTGATTTAAGGTGCATCTGAAAGTGTCAGAGACCTCCTCAGGACAGGAAACCTTTCATTAAACTCATTTAAGCAGAGCTCCAGTTTATCCCTTCCCACTGCAGAGCCAATCCTTGGATCCCATCCTCATCTCTCTGCATGCATTGTTTTCATTAATTAAAAATCACTGATGAGGACTGAGGTACTGCTCTGCAGTCAGATGGAAACCCTCCTTTCTTGGAATGCAGGGGAGCAGTAGTGGAAATTAAAAATAAAAAAATGTAGGCAGTCTCCAGGCAGCCTCTTGGGTACCAGAATCAAGTATTTATTCACTTAATGGGTGTAGATATCCAAGATCCAAAGGGAATATTAAAATATAAATATATTAAAATATAAAGATATTCAAAACTGAGCTTGCTGCATCAGACAGAAATGGAATCAGACATCAAATGTGCTTCCCACAGAGGGACAGATGATTTCTGCCTGGGGTTTTGTCCTTCACAGGATGGTTTGACCCCACCCGTGATGGGCCTCACCTCAGTGACAGCAGCATTTTATTTCACTTTTCTGTGGTTAGGTTGAAAATGAGCAAGAGTGAAGCTCTTCTCACAGCCTAGAGCAGGTGAAATCCTTTGCCTCAGCTCGTGCTCCTCAAATTTGCTGCTTCCTTTGCTTGCTCCTGTGGACTGTGGGGGGAAAAGGAGGAGTTTTAGACCAAAAATAAGAAATGGTTTTGTCTTTTTTAAAGATGTTGTGGGGGAAAAAAGAAAAAAGAAAAAAAGAAAAAAAAGAAAAAAAATTAAAAAGAAAAAAGAAAAAAAGAAAACCAAACCAAAACAAAGACCAAAAATCCCAAACAAACAAACAAACCAAAAACTAAACCACCACTAAACCTCCCCCAAAACCTACATCTTTTGAGGATAAGGATAAAGAGTGAAATAAATCCTGCCTATCCCCAGGAAATCTGCAGGAACAGGGTAAAAAAACCCAAATCCCAATAAAAACCTTCAAAAAATTGCTACTGTTTTTCAATCTCATCCCACATCACCGTTTCCTCATCAGGAGGAAAACAGAGCTGCAAAACCAGAGCTTTTATTTCTGGTTCTGCTTCACTGAAGGTTTTGCTGTTTGAGTTGGGTGATGTGGGCCCTCTTTTGAGCATTTTGATGCATTTTAGTGGATATTTTAATGGATATTTTAATGGATATTTATTGGGGATTTGATGAAAGTTGGCTTGCTACAGTTGGTTCTCTGCAAAAGCCTTTGAGTTGTATTATTTAGGAGGAAAAAAACCATGGTCAAACTCAGGCCTGGTCAGAGATCATGGCAAAAGGGGAAAGGAGAACAGAGCTTCCCTTGTAGACAGGATTTCCACCTAACTTTTGCAGCCTTGTTTCCTCCTCAAGCAGAGTCAGTGCTGTTGCATTTCTGCTGAATTTGGGACCTTTGGAAGCGACTTTTCCTTTATTTTTTTGCGTCTGATCTCCCCGAGGTTGTCAAGCGCTGCTTTTTTTCCAGTGGCTCACTGGAGAACTGACAGCCAGGGAGCTTCAAAGCAGGGAGGATCTGCTTAGCATCATCATCTTCGATCCAAAGGCAAAGCCAAATCTGACATCTGGCAGCCGGCTTGGATGCGAGGGCTATTCCACATCACATCCACGGCAGCATCTGCCAAAAATGCCGTGGGCCAAAGGCATTTTTCTCCATGGAAAATCGCTCCTTTTGGAGGGATCAGAGCTTGGAGGATGATCGTGCCAAGCCATCAAAGCTCTGAAGAAGCACGTAGCAGATACAACTGCCTGCAAATCAGATGTTTCTGCTTCGGGATCTGGTTTTGAAGCTTCTTCCACTTTTTCCCAGCTGGGCCAGTCATCAAAAAAAAAAAAAAAAGAAAAAAAATCATTTCAGTGAAGGCAACTATGTTCCTAGCCAGAAATTTCCTTTTTACCCTTGAACTTGCTGCTGTGGGCACCACAGGACCTGCTGGGCACTCAGTGGTGCTGCTGGACCTTCTGAACCACCTCTGTGAAGCCTTGTGCCACCAATCATGCCAAAACTCAGGAAACGAGGAAAGAAGAGCGAGAAAATCAGTGAAAAAGCTCCCCAGGTTTAGGCAGTGCCTGTTGGAAGGAAGAAATGACATTTCACAAAGGGAATTCCCCTGGAGACAAAGAGGTCTGGGAGATCATTTTGTCTCACCTTTGTTTTTGGAGGGAGAATGATGGAGAACAATCAGCCTTGGGTGATTTGAAATCAGGGTTCAGACCAGGACGAGCAGAGACTGAGATAAAAATATCTTCTCTTGGGCAGGGGCTGTAGTAAGACCTGTTCTATCTTTGCTCTGTTTGATAAAGAGGAGGGAGAGGGACTTCTCCTAGGGGCAGAAAGTGACAGGACCAGGGAAAATGGTTTTAAACTCACAAAGGACAGGGTTAGGTAGGATATTGGGAAGAAATATTTTGCTCAGAGGTGCCCAGAGCAGCTGGGGCTGCCCCTGGATCCCTGGCAGTGCCCAAGGCCAGGCTGGACATTGGGAGCCCCTGGGACAGTGGGAGGTGTCCCTGCCATGGCAGGGGGTGGAACTGGGTGATTTTTAAGGTCCTTCCAACCCAAACATTCTGTGATTCTGTGATTTACAACCTGATTGCTCATCCCCAGCCCAGCAGGACTGGAAATTACAGAATTAAAAGTGACAAGGCAGAGGCCAACTGGTGGCTGTGGTGTCTCAGCTTCTTCCAAGTTCTCTTGGGCTCTGAAAATGGAAAAGGACAGCATTAAAAAAAGTGAAAATATTCCAAACTGCAGGAGGACAAACCTTGTCCCTTGTCCCTTGTCCCTCTTGTGGACACCTTAAACCCAGAACACCTGATCATGAAACCATATTATTTATGTGTCAGCAGCTCTCAACATTTACATTTATTTCACAATAAAAACACCAAATGATCACAGAAATGGGAAAGAATAACTTGAAAGGTTACTGTTTTTAGGAGGGTGAAGAAGAAATTGGAACCAGATTCCTGTTTAAATTCTGGTGTTAATTACGTAGTGCAACTCTCTGAAATTAATGGAGCTCTGCATATATAAAAAAAAAGGTACAATTGTGCTATTTCTGCTTCCTGTTATCCATGAAGGCTTTGCCAGTCTATTACAGCACAGGGAATATTTAATTATTAATGGCCACAGTTACATCAGCAACCAATAGAGGGAAACTCCAGAACTTTTGAGACGTTGAATAGAGTTAGAAAAACAGAAAATTCATTTTCAAAAAGGCACTTAAGTGTCCAGGGCTTCCAGTGAACCTCACACAAAACAAGAGTTTGGGTCTAACTTGAGAAATTTGCTCAGTGTGTCATTTTTCCTTTAACATAAAACTTTCAAATGTGCCTTGGAGGAGCTGTTTAACTCACAAACTGTTCACAGGAGAGTGCAAAAAAATTATTGCTCCTATGGTACAGGAGAAAACCAAGGGCCTTTTCTCTCACCACTCGTAGATAGGAGTGAACAGAAAGGAAAAGCTTCATAAGCCAAGCAGAAAATAATAAAAATAACTCAAATTGCTTCAAGAGTTCAGTTGCCATGCAGAAACTGAGGAGAAAAATGAGACTGCCCAATATATTTTAGAGGAAAAGCCTGAATAGACACCCTAGGCTCATACTCTTGAAAAATTAAGCATCTGGCTTCTGATTCTCTAAAAATACTCAATTTTTTCTCCCCCACTCAATGTTGTAACCTGGATTTTTATCATTATCTACCTTTATTACATGGGAATCTCTCAAAAGCAGAGATCCAGCATTGCTGAAGAGGTGTTTAAGCGATGTTTTTAATATCTGATGTCAGCTTTTCAAAGAGAAAAAGCAAAGCCTTTAACTTGACTCACTCTGGGTATCACAAAGAGATTTCATTGATTACATAATGACATAACTAATACCTCCTCTGAATATTAAATATACCCCAAATAAATACCACGAGTTACAGAATCAAGAGAATTCTGCAGAATGAAAAGATCTTTGAGATCATTGAGCCCAACCTGGGAGTTGTCTGTGCAAGGACAAATGTCCAATGCACTCCCACAATGACAGGGAGAATAAATTCAGTTTATTCAGTTTATTTCTGGTGCTTATTATATGATTAAAATAATTCCACTATTTTAATCATGGAATCATTGATAGGTACCAGCATTATCCAGTTTTCAGTAAATCCTCTGATAAATCTCTGGAACGAGCTTACTTAAGGTAAGGAAGATTTTTGATTTCAGGTTGCAGCTCCGAACATTTATTTGGTTTAATTCCCCCTATTTAGCAATGATAACAATGTCAGTGAGTTATAATTACTGCAGAGGCTCGTTATCAGTAATTAACACGTTTTCTTTCCCCTGCCAGTCCCACTGTCCAACAGGAGGTACAGCCAGGACGCTCTGCCCGAGGCCTTCCCGAGCTGCACGGCGCCAGTGCCGGGCAGGTACAAGGAGGATTTTTACGACTCCGGCATCATGAAACACAACAAAAGCGAGCCCAGGATCCAGCCCCCCGCCCACCTCATCAAAGAGGAAAACAAGCTGGCCTTTAACAGAGACCTGCCAGAAAAAATCAGCATCAACGAGGGCTCCTTCCCCAACTCCCTGCTGCCCAAATCCGAGTGCTGCCAGGCCAAAGCCGTGGGACAGCTGAGCCACCTGCTGCCCGTGCCCTCGGTCTACGAGCAGAGCAGGAGGATTTGCGTCAAAGACCCCAAATTCGGGCACATCGGCCACCAGCCAGGCAGCCTGGAGGAGCTGGAGGGCGGCGAGAGGATGAAGCTCGACCACGAGGCCGAGAGCGAGCGGCTGGTGGACGTCAGGCCCTCGGGCCAAGTCCCCTTCGTGCTCCTCAACTACCACCACGTGCTGGCCAAGCATGGCGCCTTCCCAGCCTCGCCCTGCGCGGCGCGGGACACGCGGGAGAGAATTATTCCTACAGCTCCGAGGAAGTCAACGCCTTCATTTACAAAAACCAAAGCCCCTCCTCGGCTTCTTCTCCAGAAACCCACAAGGAATCTGCACTACCCCATTACATTGGGACTTCTGTAATTATTGCCAACGGCAGGTGACAGTACCACAGGAGGGTTTGAAGAATTAGAATTAAGAAGCCAAATGAATGATTTGCAAAAAAAAAAAAAACCAAAAAAAGAACCACAAAAAAAAAAGAAAGAAAAAATAAAGCATGAGGAAACGCGGTGACATTTACTGAGCAAAGCTGGAGGGCAGAGAGGGACGAAGTGATGAGTTCCACCAGTCCCAGGGCCAGGAAAATCCCCTCTGTGCCCTGCCGTGCTTCAGCATCCCAGATAAAGCTCCAGTGCCAGGGAAAAGCCAAGTTCCAAATCTTATTTTTGTTATTTTATAGTGTGCAGCAAAAGGAAACGAGAGGTGTTATATGCAGAGGTTTATATGGAGAACATTCTTCATTCTTTTTTTTTTTTTTTTTTTTTTTAATCATTATAAAATCGACGTTCTAGTTTAGGGGTTTTTTTGACAAATTGTGTGAAACCTCACCTCAGCTCTCCACCCAACCCCCTGACAAATTGACTTTGTTGAGAGTGTGGTGATTTTCAGCAACCACAACACAGCTGTACTACCCAAACAGAAAAAAACCCCTTATTTATTAATTACCAAAAAAGTTTTAAAACTAAATAAATCCACCCTAAATTTGATTTATTTAACACAGATTTCAGTGTTCTGAGATGGTTGCCACCACCATTTATCTGGACAAGGGACAATATGACAAATTAATAAGTACAAAGATAGGTATTACAGGGTTACAGGTCTTGTCATGGCAAATTGGGACAAATTATGGAGCAGGAACTAATTCCCCACAAATAAGAAAAGGAAACTCCTAAATCCTGTGTTTCCCTGAGTATTCTGGGGGAAGCCTGTGCAGATTTTCAACCCAGCCAGTCACAAATACATCTTAATAACAGCACCAGAAATGTTTTCTTTATAGTCAAGAGAATAATGGACATTTATGCCTTATTTTGAATTTACCAGTAGAATTGTGGGCTTTGAAACGTCCAGCTCTTAACACACTGAACTTCCTCCGGCATAAATCCTGTTGTCAGCACAAAGGTAGGGCTGGAATTCCCTGATTTGAGCACTTCACAAATCCCTAACAGCACATTTGAAGCACTCACATTCAGCCAGGAATAGATTTTCACCCCTTTATTTTTAATTCTTTGTAGAGGATGGATCTGTTCGAGTTTAATCGACAACACTCAGGTGGTTTTCAGCCACTTCCCCAGGCACTGTGAGTGGATAAAACAACAAATAAATGTTGTAGATCTCACTCAGCTCCATTTCTCACCCCAATTCAAGCTTAATTCAGAATTTTTCAAACTTTCTCTCATTAGACTCCAAAGAGAACTTCACTGAAAAACCTTGAGCGCCCTGGGACAGTGGAAGGTTCCCTGCCCATGGATGAGCCTGAAGGTTCTTTCCAATCCAAACCATTCCATGATTCCTTGAAGAAAATTCTTACCTGGTTTGTGTAATATGGAAAAAAACGCTCATGGATTGCACCTTGTCAGAAAAATCATAATGCACTACTCAGTCCTAAAAATTCCATGTTCTCCCTCTTTTCTGTGCAGCAATAATTCATCCCAGAACGGTCTGGGTTGGGAGGGACCTTAAAGTTCATCCACTTCCAAGATCCTGAAATGGGAACTTTCCATTAGAATATAATAATAAAGTTATTTCCTTCTGTGTATGAATATTTGTTGCTACGAGTACACAAAAATACTTTAAAAGCAAAAGCTTGAAAACAACTTTCAGAGGTGTTTTTTTTTAATTCCTTCCCATTAAAGGTTGACAGAGAAAGCTTTATTATCAAATTAATTCACTTGGAAGTGAGCTTGAACTGAACACTGTCAGTTGACTTTTTCAACTGCATGAAAAATACATTTTGTGCTAAACAGAACAAAAAAAAAACCCCAAATCAATGATTACAAAAAAAAAGCCAAACCAGAACCGATCCAGCACAGTCTCCCCCTCTGTAACCTCGGTTTGTTTAATGCTGGAGAAGCTGGCAAATCTCCAGAAAAGCTGTAAATGTGGATTATAATCGTGCTGACCCCGTAAATCAAAGCCAGCAGCCACCGGCTGCTTTTCCAGTGGCTGTGGCTGAGAGCCCTCCCAGCCCCTGCTCCTCATAAACGACCCCAAAATCCTGAAAAGATAATTATGCCAAGACTCCTGGCTTAATTTTCTTCAATTAAATGAAACCCATGCCCTACAAAGGAGCCACTGGCATGGCTGGCATCATTAAAAAGAAACCTGATGCCCAACCCCTCCTGCTGCACTTTCTCCCTCATTAGTGGCACTGCTGCATTTGGGTGTTCCTTGCTAGAAAAACAACAAAAATTAGGTTTTGCTTGAAAAAAACCAAACCCGCCATCGATCTCTTTCAGCTCGGTATTTTTCCACCTTGTTATTCCCATTCCATCCAGGATTTATTCCAGCAGCCTGAGCAGAGGAGGTGTTCCATCATCCTTCCCCAGGTGTTTTAGGGGAGGTGAGGTAATAATGAACCAATTAGGAATTCACAGCTGATAATGCAGGGGGAAGGTGCAGAAAAAATGGCAAAAACAAATGTGGGAAGGATTTATTTTTTTTTATTTTTGTTTTTTCCTGCCCCTCCAAGATTTAAAACAGCGATTCCCATCTGGGAGTAAATTCCAAATTTACTATTAATTAGTAAATAAAATTTTCTGGGAGAAAAACAGGAGTTTTGGTTGGTTACCAGGGCACTGCCATCACAGTGGCAGTGTTTTAATAATGAAAAATGTTTTTAATAACAAAAAAAATAATAATTATGGCAGTGAAGGAGAATGGGAATTGAAATAAATGATGAAAAATAACTTCATTTCTCTTTAGCATTTGAGCCACACTTTTGTCATGAGACTTCACAAGATTTTAACTCTCAGGGGAGTTCAGACCTGGCAAGAAAATCGTGGAAAGAGGGAGAAAGAGAGTGAAAGAGGGAATATTTTACCAAAATCATAGAAAATTTGGGTTGGGAGGGACTTTAAAGATCTCATTCCAACCCCTTGGCAGTCAGGGAATCTTCCACCAGACCAAGGTAAAAGTGAATCCCAAATTGAGGTCTCCAAGTTTTGGAAGCAATGCAATGGAAATAAAACGAGGTGAGAAAGGCACAGATTTGTCCCCAGGTTTCTGTGCTCTGTGATGTGAAAAAGGAAATTTAAGGAAATTCAGCCAAATTGGTGCAAAATTAGGAAATTCATCACTGAAAGTGCCAATCAATGAGAAATCTGCCAGAATTTCTCCAGAAATCTCAAGACAGGACAGAAATTGTTTTTTTTCAGCATTTCAGTCACACTTCAGAAACTCCACAGAGGGAATTTTGTTATTCCATTTTTTCCTGAAGGTTAGATTTTGCTTTTTTGTTTTTTTTTTTTAATATGATGCAGATAAAAGCTATTTGGCAAGTGTAGGTGAAGAAGCACGCAACCCAACCAACCTATCCATGCTCAGAATTATATATGTATTCCCTAAAAATGTAAAGCATTTTTGCTTATTTATTATGTAAAACAAACCTGTTAAAATGTTAATAAAATCCTGTAGCCAAAGGAAAACTGAATTCCTCTTTTTTTTTTTATTTTATTAAATACAAAACAAAGTTATTTCACAAAAAGACAATGGTGCATATTTGAAAATTTATTTCAAGCTGTGACACATTTCTATAATTGACAATTAATGTGCTATAAAACACACACAGACTTTTTTTTTTTTAAATATATTGTATTTTTGCCACGTTGCATTTTAAATGAAGACACTTGGAAAATGCAAATAACTCAGAATGAGATGCTCAACACTGGACAATTCTTCCCTGCAGTTCTCTTTTCTCCATCATTTTTTGACCTCTGCTCTTTCCTGGGCCCAGATTTAATTTCTTTGGTGTCTGATCAAGGCAGCGCATCCCCAGCACCACTTAAACATGCAAATGTTTTTATCAAAGCACTTACCCCCAGGAACCAGCACAAATCTTTCCCATGACAGATATTTTGATCATAGAGACTTCCAAAGGAGTTGCAAAAAAGGAATTTTTTTGCAGCTGAATCAGAGGAAGCAAAGAAAAGAATTTTTGCACGGTGAAGCAGCAGCATAAAGAATTAAACGCTTTAATATTATTTCCAGGTAATAGCCCTTGATTTGTTGGATATATTTAAAAATAAAAAAAAAAATAAAAAAAAAGCTCTGAAGTCTTATAAAAGCTTTACTAGAAGCAGGATGTGCTGGACTCTGAAATGTGAAATACATTATTATTACTTTTTCAAACCTTTGGAAGCAGCTTTGTTGCTGACTGGGCACGACCCACCCCGGATTCGCACACGTGCCAACACACCCAGGAGTTTTCCTATCAATAAACAACCCCCACAAATGTTTTCACCATGAGAAATGTTCTACCAGAGCCCCAGCAGGGGGGGAAAAAAATAAAAAAATGAAGTCCCAGAAATCCGGACATCGTAATAAATGAGTTTTCTGAAAGCACTTCATCAAGAAAATAGTTTAAGATATGAGCTCAGCCTCGCAATGGAAGAGGTGTTTTACTAATCCAGACAGCTGAACGAAATGAAACATTTTCAAAGCGTTATTCCTGGGCCTGGAGCTGCCTGGATCTCTCCATCCCCACATCCAGGGACACCCCACACCACATTTGTCTGTCACACACGGAGAACAAGAAAAAACAGGATTTTCCTGCGAAAAATGTTGCGGCTTTCTGGGCGCGCCACCTTCGGCAGAGGAAGAGTGGGACTCTTGTGCTTCCCATCCACCTGACACAGCCAGGGATTCTCCAAGGACTCATCCACAAGGAATTTATCCTGGTCCCATGGGAATTCTCCTTGTCTTGGCTTATTCTGAAGGGAAAGCAACAAATCCTTCATCCAAATCCAGGCTGGAAGGCTGAGACAGCAGGAGAGGCCACTGAAAAGGCAAAGTGGTTCCCACAGCACCCCCTGGGCTCTGGCACATCCAGGCTTGGGCAAGGAAATTCCACTCAAGTTTCTTCCTTCCCAAGGCAAAAATGTTGGGAATAACCTGGCAACTCCAAGTGAGAACAGAACCAGCTCATCATGAACGCAGCTACAAAAGGACCAACAGCAACCAGGAAACGTTGCAGCATTTTGATGTTAAAAAATCCTTCTGCTGCTGCTCAGCCACTGAAGCTTTACAAACTCATCCTGCCCTTCCAAAATTCCCATGTTTTATCCTTTTCCTCACCTTTTTTTGTCCCTGGAGAAGGAAGTTTGAAGGAAGTTTGAAGGAAGTTTGAAGAGAAGTTTGAAGGGAGCCACTCAAACCTCAGCCTGAGGCACGACCTGGCTGTTCAATCCCTCCAGGCACTTCCCAGTCTGGGTGGAACATGAACAAAACCCAGAGGTTCTTTCTAAGGGAAAACCCTAAAGC